GACCCATTTTAAGTACTAGGAGCAGCGGGCAACCACCATGCAGCTCCCAGGGAACCAACTCCAGATCTGAGCCAGTGCCTTGGTCAAGAGCACTGACTGGAGAATTAACCTAATGTACTTTGGACACGGGAGAACGTGCAAACTCCCTGCTCCAACCATGAATCGACTCCAGAAGCTTCTTGCTGTGAGGCACAGCGCTAACCACTGATCCACCGTGCCACAAGCTAATACTTGTCACTTTCATCATGTAGATTAAGCCTAGTGTGTACCCTAACTAATACCCTCTCCATGTGTAAATGCAGGTTTTTGTTTTTGTTTTCTTTCCCATTACCAGTTAGAAGTTTGCCTTTCTGATTTTTTTCTTGACGTCTGATTTCTTTTCTGACGTCACAAACATGCCGGAAAGCAGCATTTGTTTCTCGCCTTGGGCTGCGAGTAATGCCTCTTTGACTCAACATTTTCACTACGTTGTGTTGTGTATCCCAGCATCTTTCACAGGGCCAGTAGCAACCTGTCTCCGTATTTCTTCTTCCCCTTGAATCAAGAGAAGTTCTCTCACCTCGTTGTCTTCCCAGTGTTGCATCTTGCATAAAAATTGCCATGGCACCCTGAATCTATTTTACAATAACGCTCATGTCTTGGACTATATCTTGCATATTGCAACTATCCTTTATACTTAATAATATGAACTGCATAAACTATACTATATATTTAAATAATGCTCATATTATGCATATTGTCTTTTTTTATTATCATCTTTATTTCTATTTTCTTATACTATGTTTATTGTTATGCACCAATATACTAAGGCAAATTTCCAATATATATCCAATATATTATGATTGTGATTCCTATAGACAACGCCAATGAAGAAAAAAATGAAGAAAATAGCATATCTTCTACGTGCCTAGCATTGTGCTAGAAAAGGGGCAAAAATTAACTTGTCCAACCTTTGCGTCATTTTTTCATCTCTGCTGTTTGGAGCCGGAGTCGATAAATACCCATGAAGACTGCAGAATCATTTCAGTTGGGAATGAATGCCGATTTTACTCTTAACCACAGAACAAAAGCAAGATGTTAGTGAGTTACTGAGCTTTTTGTTCAGGTTAAAATGGGCTTTACAGAGGTCTTGCTGCCTTCTGATGTGATTTGTAGGAACTATAATGAAATCCATTAACCCTGTGTGCATTTTAAAGGCACAGAACATGCACTTAGTTTCATAACTTAACATTCTTCACAAATGACTAATTATATTATATTATATTATATAATATTGTAAGATTATATGTATAAGACCCTGTCAGGTCGGAGTGAAGCCATGAAGTACATTTGCATAATTGTCTCCTTTATCTGAATGACATAAAAACACTTTAACAGACAGATGAAGCCAGCAATGTCCGAAAAGGGCGCAAGACACATAGAAAAAAGTACAGAAGGAGTAAATGTCTGGCTTAGGAAAAAGCAGATAACTCTAACCCTTCTGAAAAATAACAGCTGCAAAGAAAATAAATGTAGATTATTGGTTGGTATCAATATCTTTATCTTAATTCTCCAAGCAATATCCAGCCAAGTCCTCCCTGCAATTAACCTACAGGACCTCAATCCCAAACACACTCTGTTTTTTCCTATAAAGGTTCTTCCTTGGGTGCTCACTGTATGAGTTGTAGCTCCACAGTGATGATTCGGTCAGGGCCAATATGGTATATAAAAAGCTGCAGAAATGAGGTACAGCTTGGGAACAGCCAGAGTGTTGGATGAGATGCATACAGCTGAACGATGGGAGAGAAAAAAAACAGAGAGGCTGGAGAGAAATAAGCAGCTGGCACGAAAAACGCCCACCGGTTCAGCACAACAAACACAAGCACACATATACTGTATACACACACACATACAGTGAATTAATGGAACCAACCTGAACTTTTGACATCTGATCTATCTCTTACTGCCTGGTTTCAGGACTAAGTGACACCCTCTGTATGCTTACACACACACACACACACACACACACACACACACACACACACATTCAGTTTAATCAGACCAGATGATAATGATGGTAAGAATCACAAATTATATTCTCTGATTATCTTCTCTGCTACACTCGTTTCACTGTACATCTGGAGATTGAAAGATTGCGTGAAAGATTTTGTGTGTGTGTGTGTGTGTGTGTGTGTGTGTGTCAGAAAGGTTGAAAAATAGAGGACAGAGAATTGATAAACAAAATATCTCAACTTCCTCTTTGACAATACTCAGTTTCAACTTCTTGTAACTATGTTAATGATCACTGTGCAAATGTCCTTGTGAGAAACTGTAAGTGTTTAAACATTTTAATGAACAAGCCTTTTTGCACAATGTTTATAACAGTGACATGGGTATCCACATTCTATATATATACTATTTACATCCTTTCTACAGTGGTCTGTATTGACATTCAAAATTCAGTGTACTTCCAGTCTCATTGAATCATAACAAAGATACCATGAATAGAAGTTCCTAAATGAATTTCTTCCTTTTGATCGCCCCATGAGATTATATAAGGAAATGACTCGGGGAGATGAGTCATAATATAAAAAGGAGTAGGCTAGTCATCCAGATAGATGAGCTTAAAGACTGTCAATCAGCGAGACTAGTGGCAATTAGCCCAATTGAACCGGCCTCAGTCTGCAGAAAAATACATTATATATATACATATATATATCTTTTCAAAAATTACATTCTTATTTATTCTGCTTGTCACTTGTAAGTTGTATTTTTTTATTTTTAAAAAGATGTCCCTCTTCTGAAACTCTAGTTTGAAGAAAAACACATTTTCAGTTTCACAGCTGCAGTACATAAAATGTGCAAGCTAACAGAAACAGATATTTAAATTCAGGCTTTGACATTATCCTCTTTTACAAAAATCAGCTCCCAGGTTACAGTGGTGTTAGCTGCAGCCAATTTGTTTGACAAATGGCCCATCATTTAAACCCATTAATCTCTTCCTTAATGTGGCTCGCAGGTGTGCTGTCAACAGAAACTCTGCAGGGACACAATTTCTGCCCCTCATTATTTTCTCACCTCCTCCCTGAGGCTGTTAATAAAAGTGGAAATATGTACTTAATTGAGGCTAGTTAAAGAGGACTTGATACAGAATGGATTTGGGCTCAGCAGGTAGGTGTGTAAGAATTAAAGAAATACGACTGATAGCATTCAACCATCTCATTACCTGTCTATGGCTGTCAGCTGCCATTGCACACACACAGGACACTCATAAGTCAGTATAGCCAGAGGGTGAGTGTACAGTATGATTGTTTCCACCAAAACCAGGTGTAATGATGGGTTGTGTGGGTGAGTGGCAGATGTTGGCATTCTCTCTCTCTCTTTCTGTGTGTGTGTGTGTGTGTCTTCCTCAGTCAAGTCAAATGCATGTATGGCTGACAGTTTGTGAGACAGAGTGAAACACTGGGTGCAAGTGTGTGAGCACACACACAAACACGCACGTATATCCCACTCTTGTCTACGTGCACCTCACTTCTAGGTCGCTGAAAAGCAGAGAAAAAACAATCAGCTGACCATTGAAAAAATACAATACATGAAAATAATTATGTTTGACTTACCAGATTTATTTATTGGAGCGTGTAGTCACATCTCATTGCCTTCTTCAGTGGAATGACTTTGCTCAGATGGTTCAATTGTAATCAAGTATGGAACTTTTGGTTTTCTCGGATGTCAAAAATTAACACTAAACCTCAATAAATATGTAATTTCAAACTAGAAATTGAAGACAAGGAAGACAAGTCTCTAAGTTAAGTCAATAACAACTGTGTGTGCTGTTTAAATGCTATATTCATTGCAAATAATCTAGCTGTTTAAAATAAATTCATGCTGAAATGATTAACTGATTTATTAACAGAAAATGGATAAACCTATTTTTATAATCAATCAATGCCTCACTGGTGAGACTTTGTGACCTTTTCTGAAATTAATATCTTTTAACGATCAAGATTCAGTTAATTCATCCACAGAATCACTGAAATTGCAGAGCTCCCATCCTAATCAACCAACGCTGATTACAGAACATAAAATATGAACAATCATAAAATAAAACCATCAAAAGAGTCAACAGCTGGGGCGCTCTGGTAGCTATGATTATCATGTTCACCTTCTTAGTTTAACATGCTAACATTTACTAATTTGCACTAAACACATAGTACAGCTGAGGTTGATGGGAATGTTTGCAGGCATTTGTAATTTAATTTATATTATAAACTTAGGTATTGGGCAATTTAAAAAAATGTTGCCCTGATGACTGCGCTAGATTAAAACTGATTACAATTTATCCCGAGGGAGACATGAATGCGCGTACCACAACGTAACCTAACATAAAACTATATTGCACAATAAAATCTGTTAGATTAGATAAAAGCTAATCGAACGATAACATGAACTAGAATTAAATTTGGTGTTTACGTCCTCCTTACAAATGCATCGTCTTACTGTCACTTCCCTTGAGAGATGACAGAGAACGCTAGCTTAGTCTTCCGCTGCAATTAATAAATAAATCCATATTGTCTTTTTATTTTATTTTGTGAGATAACGAGACAAGATAGACTTTACACACACACACACATTGTGTGACAGAAAAACAAAGGAAAAATAGGCATTTCCTGGTGGAAGCACCTCATGATGTCCAATGTTCATCTATTATTAGTTATTATTTTTATTATATTTTTGTCCTTTTTAATAAATCCATATCGCGCATGTGCACCTGATGTCCTTCACCCCACATAATCCTTTAGGGTTTGCACTGTTGGTCAGACAAAACAAGCAATTTGAAGATGCTGCTTATAGATAATTGGCAGATAAATTAGTAATGAGAATAATCATTATTTGTAGTCCTACAATAATTAAATCTAAAGACTAAAAGACTAAAATCTTTTATCATGCAATGCTGATTGTCCTTTGTGACAGTTAAGTTAATTAAATTAGTGAAAGAAGCACAAACAAACAAGACACCTTAGTTTTATTTATATTCTCTTTAATATATCTTAAAAAATGGATATACAATCTGAGAAAGAAAAAGTTGAGGATTTGAAGAAGAACAGGTTGTTAATCTTCCTCCCATGGCCCGAAGATGGACTTAGCCCAAGCAGAGACATTCCCCAATAACATCCTGGGGGGAAACAAACAAAAACAAAACACTGCTAACTGCCAAATTAAAGGACGTATGACAAGCTGTCCAATAGGAAGCTAAAATCAGAGTATTAGTAAGGCTAAGATTAAGTACAGAGTATTGGGCTACCATATCCTGGAGGCAGCTACTACCACGACAAATAACTGCCATGGCGATCACACAGGATGGCTTTATATTAATAGGCAGTTGCATTAGCCTTTTACGGTTTGAGTGGACCAAGACCAGGCAGGAAAACGCCATGGAACGCCCACATTCACATTCGCTTTCATTGGACCTGGTATTTGTCATATTCTCAGGTCCTTTATTTTGGCAGAAGCCAGTGTCGTCTGTTGTTCTGTTTACTTTCACCATGAAAACAGAAATAATTCGAGCTGCTGAACCCTGGGCCAGAATAACAAAGAAAAGAGGGAACCAGAGCATGCTAACAAATCACATCATTTCAACATGTCATACTGTAACTGCCCACACACACACACACACACACACACACACACACGCTCAACAAGCACAAACTCTCGCACGCATCCATCACACACATCTCCAATGTAAAATTTCACTCTTCAACAACCACATTTCTGACATCCTTATTAAAATGCACTACTGGCTGGATCACATAGACTTTGCCTCATGCAGACGTGTGAACACAAATCTGAAAGGAGCGAGAGAGAACAGTCTTAATGTTCAGAGATACGACTCACACTGGAGGCACAGCGCTCACACGCATACGGACGCCACGCCCTCACCGGCTAACTGAGTGACAGTCTCTTTCTTTCTCTGTATAACACACACACACACACACACACACACACAAAATGACCAGGCATTTTATGGCCAACATCCACAATAGCAGAGGTTCGTAAAGACAGTTTGAGGTTATCTGGTTAGCTCAATATTAGCAGAGCTGTCCCGAAATCCAGCAGCTAGCTCCTATACGAGTGAGCTAATGAGCAGCATAGTGAGCAAGCTGTTCCACTGGCAAGCGTGCCGACGAAGTGAGCTACGTCGTCTTTGTTTCAGTACCCCAAACCTGTCCACAGTGCGTCTAGTGCATCACCTCCAGTGTCATGTCGCTTTTTTTTAACCTATTAGCTTAGCCTAGGTTAGCCTGCCCCAATGTCTGAGCTTCAAGTACCACACATACTTGATGAGAAGAAAAGGTACGCTCACTCACTTCTTCAGCTAGTTGGCTTGCTATCTGAGTTGCCTTCATGAATCTCTGCTACTGACTTCTCAAAACTCAGTGAAAACACACACAGTCCACACACACACACACACACACACACACACAGAAAGAAAGAAAGAGAAAACTGAGTACTGTCCTTTTAGACCGACACACTCCACATGTCAGCTTGGGAAATCTCCCACAGCAACCAGAGTGAGAGGGGATGTACCGTGCCGTTAGAAAGTCTTGGGACAGCGCAATGTATTTTATTCCATACTGCAGCACGCTCACAATGAAATGAAACAATGACTGTGAGGTTAAATGGCTGACTTTCTGCTTTAAGGGTATTTTAAGGTGTTCACATCCACGTTGGGTGAACAGTGTGGGACTCGTAGTAATCCCCAAATTTTAGGACAACGATCCTGAACATGCAGACCGACGATATATGGCTCTGTAAAGCCAAGCAGAGCTGAAGATTCAGATGATAATTCTCTGCAGGTTCATCACTACAAACAAACCCTGTTCACATTGTTTTGATACAGATATCTTTGTCCATTAAACCCGGGGGACTATGAACAAAAAGAGAAACAATTCCTACACTGTTTTATTTGTTCTGGATGTAAAATTCAATCTAAATCAGTCTTTTAAACGTGCAGTCATTGCTTCATTTTAAAAGGTCCAGTGTGAAACATTTAGGAGGCTCTAATGGCACAAACTGGATATAATATTCATAGGTATGTTTTCATTAGTGAATAATCACCTGAAAATAACAATGATTGTGTTTTTGTTCACTGAGAATAAGCTGTTTATATGTATAGACATTGAGGGTCGCCTTCCGTGGAGTCCTTTCTGTTGAAACGCCATGTTTCTACAGTAGCCCAGAATGGACAAACACTGGCTCTACATTGGGGTGTTTACGTTTTATTGCGTTTTTTTTTTTTTACACGTTTCACAGCCGCTGTAGTTTCTCCTTTGTGTTTGGAAGGGAAGGGTGAAGTGACAGAGTTGCTATCTGCAACTACACCGCGTGACGCCACTAAATCCTACACACTGGACCAAATGTGCACAGGTACAGAGCAAACCCACCAAAAATGTGTCACTGTCACAGTACTTTCTGACTGCACTGTAAGTACAAATAAACCTCTCAATCATCAATGGGAAAAAGTGCATGTGGTTGTGTGTGTGGTTGTGTGTGTGTGTGTGTGTGTGTGTGTGAGTGTGGAACAGAGACAGATGGAGGGAGGACAAAAAAGGACAGTGAGGAGAGGAAGGGCAGGGGCACAGAGACGAAGTGAAGCTGAAAACAGTACAATACATTTGGCTGTGGTTTTAGTAGTCGTACTTTATCCCACTTGGAGCTGAAAACACACACAGAAGGTCTGCATGTGAGCTTTGTGTGTGCGTGTGTGTGCACATGCAAGGAGAATGACAACAGACCGCGACAATGTGGCCATTCACATGCTGTCTAGTGGGCCTGTGTATGCATCTATTCACCTTTTACTACAGGATGTGACACTGTGTGTGTGTCTATGTATGTGTATATGTTGTGAACTCACATGCATTTTTCTCTTTAGCGACACAAACATGGCAGGCACTGGAACAGAGAACTGATAGTAACAGATATTATTTCTCTTGATTAGTCAACAGCTGAATGTGACTTCCTTTTATGTTTTTTTTTTTTTTTTTTTGCGCCGGTGAATCATCACATCTAATCCCTCGCCATGGCTCGTTTCCGGACAGGTTTATAGTGAGGCGGCGTCATTCAGTGATCTTGCCACAACGGAACAGACATTGTGGTCATTGCAACACTCAATCGATTAGGATAATTAAAGCATATTTTTCTTTTGTATGCAAGCCCTTGCTCAAACGCATAATTTCTAATTTCATAGTTTCTTTTTTTTAAATTTAGTTTCTGCACTGTGGAGTTTATTGCAACTGGGTGAACTGCAGGGCATGGGTGGGGGCCGTGGTGGCGAGAGGAGGGGAGTGGAGAGAGAGAGAGACCCAGCTGTTGATTCACACACGTAGGGCGGGGAGGGAGTTGGCCAAGATAAGCAGAGGCAAGGTAGAGCAGTTTGGTTGGTTGGTGCAGGCTGATGTAGGTAGCCGATGCTTCTATCATCTGGCGTAGTGCTTGATGTAATCTTGAACCTTATTCCGGAAATCCTCCTGGATTGGAGACAGGCAAAGGTAAAGAGAGAGAGTTAGTTCGAAAAGCCAGACCAACAGACAGTATATTTAACATTTAGACCTGGCCAATTCACCAATTACCACTTTGAGTAATGCTATCCCTAACTTACATATGCTACTGAAAAAAACATCTACAAAGACTATAAACAGGTTCAAATGCACCCAAGATGCACCAGGGTCCATTTCAGGTGATGTGACCCACACACTGGGGCTATAAGTTAGTCTAATGTAAACAGATGCATGCTCCCCACCACCACTATTTAGATGTACAGTAATAGATGCAATGTGTTTCCTGGCGGGCCAATAAAGGTGCACTGATATAAATCGACTGTATGTATGAAAGCGATTTTCTCTCCTGTTACTAATTTCATTATCAATATTGCCAATTGAATATCTGATAAGAATCTGATAATATCTGATAACTGGCACATAGTGATAAATAAGGCAATATTACGTGACTGTGGCAATCAAAACAAATCGAGTTGGCGGCCCTCTGACTTTCCCCTGTCAAACTCCTTCCGGTCATGTGTGCCCTCTCCTCCCCTTTCCATGTTTACTCTCGTCTTCATCATGTCCCTCCTGGTTGTGCTTGGCTTATTTCCACCCCCATCCACCATCCATCTCTCCATCCTGTAACCTCCCCTCTGCCGCTCCTTTGACCCATCCCTCCTGGTTACATCGAGCTCTGTGTGACCTCTACTCTCCAGCTGCCCTCTTTCCTCTCCTCGGCTCTGTCCATCATTTTGGGTCCTCCATGTCTTTCTCTTCAACATCTTGGACTGCTGAATCTGAGACACGCTTGATTTAACTTAGTCTGCTTGTGTCTACACCGTCTTCATATATCAGCCAAACTATTGTTTAATACATTAGGCAGAATACATTACAGTACACACACACACACACACACACACACACACACACACGCACACACGCACACACACAGTACCATGAATGTTGATCAAAGACTGCTATTAATTTGAGCTGCAGCAGCTTTCTTTTCTGAAAGGATTTCCTTTATTCTCTCTATACCAGAAAGCATAACTTAGAAAAACTGCACATACTATCACAGCTAAGGAGACATTCTTTACTGTGATTTATTATGATTTATTATTGGCACAGGGATTAATAAATTTAAAAAAAATGGAAAAAAAAATCAAAGCACCCATGGTCATGTAAAGAACTGTATTATCTATGACCTCCATATAAAGATTGCAAAAGCAACTCATATACAGTAGCTTCTGAATGTGGGGTGGAACACCAGTTTATGTTTTTTGTCTAAACGCGAAACAAGACCGTTTTAAATGGTTTTTCACATAAATGCATAGAATTTTTTTCCCCAGTGCACCACAAAGTCACTCCAGACAACATGTACTTGGGCTGAAATGCTCCACACATGCATGTTTAATTGCTTCCCACATCTCAACTTACTATTCACCTCACAGAAATACACTAGAATATTTTAACCAGGTTATTTGTGGCTAAATTAAAAGTGTGCTGCACGTACTCAAGAGGGATTTCATACTTCTCCTTTGTCAGCCCACCACCTCTTCTTAGGCCCCCTCTTTTGTCCTGTTCTTTCCTTGGTACCCCTATCACCCATTCATCACTGCAGGGGTCTGAGCCATTAAACGCCATCATGCTGCCTGAGTCACGCTGTCCAACATGAAATTTCACATACAATTGTCCCATACGGACATCAGTGCACTGATTTATGCCACAGTTCCAGTGGTCAGTAAGTCACGCACACATTGCTGGGGCGTCTGTGTGTGAGAGAGAGACAGAGAACGTGAGAAAAAACACGAGTCAGAGGGAAGAGGAACAGAGATGGAGAGAAGATGGGGAAAAAGAGGCATGGTCTATGTGTGTGTGTGTGTGTGTGTGTGTGTACAGATGACAGACAGGAATGCTGAAAAGCTGCCAGCGACACAAACTCCAGCAGTGATGACAGCAGTTTGAATATCTGTCCCCAGAGGGATGATGAATTGGTTCTATTGCTGCCGAGGGAACTCTCTCCCTCTAGGCTCTATTTTAATGCCACAAGTGCAATGACCAGCGTAAAGTGGTGGGTTTTGGTTGCACGGACTGCATAGGTATCTCCAAGCACACTATTTTGGTTTATTTAGGTGAAGTGGCTAGACTTAACAAATGAAGAGACAACTTCTTCAGAAACCACTGCTTTAAATCAGACTAATATTCTACCACTGGGTGCTCAGAGATGCTCCCTTTATGTTTAAGATGATAATAATCTGATTTGATGCAATTTGAAAGGTCAATGGTTCAAATGATTCAATAATTCAATAATCTTTTCGTACTTTGAGGTCAGAGGCAAAGCGCATAATCCAAGCTGTGAGCAATGTGCACGCAAGGTGAAATTTAAATACTGTAAAATAAAAGCCTCAAAGCAACTAACAAATAACTTGAAATCAATTGCACCAGAATAACACACTGAAAGTCTATTTCTGTTGAACTGGTACTAAAAACAAAACCACGAGCCTGTCAAAGTTGCACAAAGGGAGAATCACTTCACACAACTTAAATCCTATCTGAAAATATGAATAAGAGTCTTCAGCCATGCTAGCGGCAACATGCCAGCTTAGTTTTGCAGCTATTGGATTATAAACCGAAGTATATGACATTGTTGGATATAGAATTGAATTGTGCAGAACTTTGGCTCGATAATGGCGCTAGACTGAAAGTTACGGGATGGTGAAAGTGATTACAATTGATCCTGAGGGTGGCATGAATGTCAAATTTGATGTAACTCGATCCAATAGTTGTTACATTTTACTGGAAGAGTGAAAACTTTGGCCTGCTGGTGGCAGTCAGACGATTACCAAAGTCCCTTAAATTCATCCTCTGGGAACCATTCATGTCTGTACAAAGTTTCATGGCAATCCATCTGATAATCGTTGAGATATTTCAGTCTGGACCAAAGAGGTTGCCCAACAGACAGAACGACTGCCATTCTTAGAACCACGCTGCACACACTCATAAAAGCTTTTACACACTTCTCACTTCTAATGCCTTTAAATTTTGTTAGTCCTGATGGCACTTTCCATTTCAGAAATGTGAGACCCATTCTGATTTACAGTAAGACTGACCTGAGTGAATATTCACAGATATCAATATCCTACATTTAAAAAAAAAAAAAAAGTTTTTTAAAACGCAAATGAAGAAACACGGTCAGTGATCTTACCAGAATTATTTCCATCTGTCTCTCTCAAGTTGTTCTGTGTAAAATGGACACCACTTGTAAATAAGGGATATTGGTTCATCTGTCCCTCTTAATCTGTGTTTTTGGCATCTTTTGCTTCTATAAACACTTAAAACAGATACACATACACATAGTTTGCCACAGCATGACATTTAGTGAAAAAAGTTTGGCAGAAATCTGCAGGGTGCACAGACACCAAAGAGGGGGTGAAGTTAAACAGTGGAGAGTATCTTAAAATATGTGAAATGTGAAAAAAAAAAAAAAAAAAAAAAACATCTCACACTTTTACCAGATAAATTCACATACATTTACATTACACTTTTCTCTCTCACAGCAGAAAACCAGCTGAGACTGCAAATTACTTTGGTGTTCATTAGTTTGAAGACTCCAACTAAACTCTGCAGTCGATTAAAAACTTTGTTAGGCTACAGCTTACTCTTCTTTTTGGCTCCATTTCACCCGTGGAAGGCAATTAACTCTCCTGTCCTCCAGCAATCTGTACAGGTGCTCAAAATATGTACCACTATCAGAGGGAAGGGGATGCAAATGAAACCCTGTGGGTATCAATGGCTACTTTAAAATCTGCTAGAAGTTGAAACTGAGCAACGGAAAGCCTCGGGATGAATTTGGTAAACAGAAAGGAAGAGGAGAGGTTAGGTGTGAACAGGGAAAGGGAGAAATGGAATAGAGAAGAGAGAGATGACGAGGGATGAAGAGGTGTGGAGAACACCCAACGGTCCCAGGGTGTTTTCACACTTTTGGAGAAATTTTGATATTTCTGTGAGTTTTGTAAAGATGTCGTTTTGATATCATTTGCTTTTGTGTTGTTGGAGATTGTTAATCTGCACTGCACTGGCCATTCATTTTGTCATTAAGCTTTTTTTTTGTCCTTTTGGGTCTCCTAACCCACATAGATCTCAGTTTTCCTGTGTCCAGCGTACTATTGAGCAGCCTCTCATCTTCAACCAGAGGCTGTCCACTTTTATATATATATTTAAATAAAAGGTACTGATATGTACATTTACTTCAAAGCTAAATCAAAGGACAAGTAATTTGGTGGTCGCCTTGCAACAATTTTAAAAAACACGTACCGCAATGCTCTTTTTTTAAAATGTGGGCTTCAACAAAAAAAGGCAAATGTGCCTCGTGTTTGCAACCTGCAAAACGAGCTCTGTCTGATCAGGGCCTCAGTTGTTAATAGCAACAGAGCCCGAAGCATTCAATTTCATCTTTCAACAGCCATACAAGCAACAGTATGAGAGGGAGTGCAATACCGTCACAGATAATAGTAAGGCTATACCAAAAGTCCTTTTTTTTAACCTTTAATGCTTCTATTGAGGTGTTTTGAACGAAGTCATCATATTTTATGTTATACTGTATTAACACCCTGTTAATACAGGAGTGTGTGCCTCGCTTTATGTGCACCAAGCGGGAGAGCAAACTGTTTTTTGGCAGCAGTGAAAATGGTGTTTTTGAAAGGATAAACTCCAACAAATATGGACTGAAGGAAATACTTCATTAGATAATTTTTTTTTTTGAAATACCGACTTTAAACATGATGAATACAACATGTAAAACATTTTATTCGAATGTTACTTTAGTTGAGAATGCCGATGTCAATATCAAAGTTACGAATGAAGTTTCAAAATATTCGGTACAGCCCTACATAACAGCACAGCTGAGATGCAAACACAGGCATGAGTCTGAAGGAACAGGACGATTACTGTGACACCTCAACACTGAGAGGGAGTCACTGTCCATCACA